GTTATCTATGAAATTAGAAAAATGATCGTCGTTTTGTGCAAGGGTGGCGCAAGATTATTGCAAAATTTCGTGTTTTCCGTCCCGTTTTGCATGTTTCTCGGAAGCAAAAAGCAAAAATACATCATTCCAGAGATAACTAAATGGCCTTTATTCGAAGTTTCTCAAGAACCATTGGAGGCACAGAATTCGTTTTGGCATCGTTGGATAGAGAATTGAAAATTCCATTCAGTCGTAACAACGTGAGTGAGGAAATTCGAATAGTTTTGAACCAGAAAGCCAAATTTGAATATCACACGCTTAGGTGCAAGATTATGCCAAAATTTCATGTTTTTCGTCCTTTTTTGCTCATATTTCGGAGGCAAAATGAGCAAGAACGCTCATTTGTACATCATTCTAGACCATGGACGGGGAAATGTTGGCAGTTTTCTCAAAAAATGCTTGAATTCAAGAAGTTTTAGATTTGCGTGGTTTTTTTTGAGTTGCAAAATGACCCCCCTGGATCCGCTCTTGCTAGCGAAGTAAATAAATGACTGAAACCCAGGAAACGAATTTGTATTAAAATTGAAGTTTAGTCAGGAAAAGTAACACGATTTCCCGAAATCTTATTAATATGAAATTTGATAAGCACCATAATCGGTCGCTGCAAGTCTAAAAATAGTATGTATTTTCAAAATAACGGCATTTCCGCAATTACCGGAAATCGATGCCAACTTTGGTTTTTTTAATAGGAAGTTCCCATTTTGCTTTCATATTTCAATTCAGCTTTCATTTGTCAGATCAGAATGTCCATTTGTCAACTCTTATCTGTCACAGTTTTTGACTTATGTCATTTTTTGCACAAAAAGGGGTAGCAGAGGTTCATTAACAAATTCATATTTCCTGAACTATTGCAAGTAAATAAATCGGCATTATTTAATTCAATTCCCAAAGGTTTGGCAGACATTCTGCATCGATTCTGACACTTTTGTTATGTTTCATGCTTCTTCTGCGATTTTCCAAAGTTGACAATAGAGAAAAATGACAAAAACTTCCCTTTTTTAAATGGCAACTACTATTTCTGACTCCACAACTAAATGTAAAATTTAATACAGGTATCAAGTTTAGCCGGTTTGGGACGGTGAACAGAAACTCTTCATTTTCTTGCAAAAGCCTACGTTTCGACTATATATTTAGTCTTCTTCAAGGCTAAAATTTACATATACAATTGAATTAGCTTGACTACAATTAAAAAAAAACCGTCAAATACAAATAAATACAAAAGACCCCTGAATATGTCATTTTTTGCCCTGAGGAAGACTAGTTTTATTTTAGCCCTAAGGAAGACGCTAACGATGAAAATGTAAAATCCAATTTTAAGTCCATTTTTCTTAACATTGTGTACGTTCATCTAAAGTCGTCTATGAGTTATTGGCAGTTTTTGGAAGAAAGATTACTGTTTTCTTATCAAGTGGTCGGTAATAGAAGTAATGCGTAAATTTAAATTTCTTATCAGAAACTGTAATGCAGGGATTTTTTATTGTTAACTTTGAAACACCGCAACAGACGCACGAATAACAAAAGTGTCAGAATCAATGGAAAATATCGGCCAAACCGTTGAAAATTGAATAAAAAAACAGGAATGGTTCAGGAGTTGATGGTTTTTCAAATAAACCTCTGCATCGCAGTTTTTTTTGCAATAAATGTGACATATGTCACAAACTATGACAGGTAAGTGTTGACAAATGGACGTTTTAAATTCAAAATTTATTGCTGAATACAAATTTGAAATCAAAATAGTGACTTTTTATTTAAAAAAGCCAAGATATCGTCGATTTTCGATGTTTCCGGAAGGGTAGCCATTTTGAAAAAAACTATATGCCTACCAATTTTCATTTCATTCCAAAAAACCTTTTTTTGCATGCTTATTAATAAACAATACACATATAAATCGTTTTGCTTTTAGTTTAGTTAGGGTTTAGGGCTTCGTTAAAAATTTTGCTCTTTAAAAGGGTTCCGTCACCAAAAAAGTGCGTAGGTCGAGACGTATAATAAGCCTTCTCTCTCTCTTCTTCTCTCTACGAACACGGAAAATTGCCCAAATTGACTCCACTAGATTTTGGATTTCCCATTAATTATCTGAAGTGTCACAATATTTGATAGCCTGACGTTCAGTTGTCAAATTGACAAACTGAACTTTGAGAGGTGGGCAAACTAAAAACAAATGGCAGATGTTTATATGTCATTATCTACCTAGTGAGAAAAATATGACTTATCACTAGGGAATGGAGTAAATATCCGGTTAGAGTAAAAAAATTGTTAATGTATTTAATAACTTAACGTTTTTATCGCTTCCATTTGGTTCCCAGCCTTAGCCAGATAAATTAACCATCAGGCTTTTGTTTGATGCCATTGAATCGAACAGATTTAAACATTTCACCGTGATATTTCGCGCAATAAATCGATCTCCGCACCAATGAGCCCGATTAATTTACTGACCGTGTCACCAACATAACTAAGTTATATCCGTTTATTTCGTATTGGTGTATCGTTAGACCAATTAGCGACCGCTGGAATAATGCAAGTCCTTGATTTTTGCATATTTTGCCATTTTAGAGCACTTTGAACCGTCATTGTGCCACTTTTGCCTATAAAGTTTTCATTTGTGAGCATTAATTACCCGACTCATGAAATCAAGTTGATTAATTAATGTTAGGGCCAACATACCTCTTCGGCTGTTGTGCGAATAAACGCCCTGCAGCCATTGAAGAATGTTCTGTACCATTTGGTCGGCGTTGGAGGCCTGTAGTTTCTCTAAAATAAAAATTGGGTCAAAAATCCAAGTTGCTAATAACTTGAACTGCCTACCAGCAGCTCTTCGGTCTCTTCGGGTGGCTCCTTCAGTTTGTATGGCACCTGCCACCAAAAAGACGACCAGAAGAATCGGAAGCTTCATACCTGAAATCACTCAAGTCTATTAACTCATGTCTTCTTGCTGCCTTGGCGTTCTGATCGGAGGTAAATTGTCATAATTTCACAATTAATCCGACTGAATTAGGAATAAGTTTCTTTGAAATGTCCAACCCAGCTGACCTTTCGGATGATTCTTTTTTTTATGTCCATCCGAAGACAAATCGTGCACTTTTCTGCCTGCATTTGTTGTTACCAGCTCCATTAATGTGTTTTTCTGTGCGAAACTCATTAAACTGTCGGGCCATTCTTCAGTTTGCTATTGATAGATTTTCGTTATGTAAAAGTCTGATGCTGAAACTAATGATCGCCAAAAATGACGCGTATTGCAACAGTCCGAAACGCTCCACCAAACATAAAGCAAAACCTCATTTGTAATAAAATTGCAAAGTTCAAATTTCTCCGAATATTTATACGCCAAAGCGTGTTGATCTTTAAGGAAGTTACGGTTTTGAAATCGGTTTCCTTCATTTTTAACCTTTAATTTGAATTCAACAGATCACTTAAGTGATGAATTAACAACGGTTTTACTCAGAATTGCATTTTTCCACAAGCTCTCCTTTGTAAGAATATATTCTCTAATGGCAAATAGTTAACAAGTTGTTGACCAATGGATGGTTTATTGGGCAAGCATTGGCTATTAAAAGTACCGTTTGATGATTGAAAGTACCCACATGTGAAAAATGGAAAGTGAGTAAGTAAATGAGAGGAAATTTTCAGCAGTATTTACCCAAGGAATCGACAGTGTTTTATGCGGTTTTATTGACCAATTTCATTCGAATGACGATGCCAATTGCTCAATTTGTTTGTTTAGTCGATTCAAAAGAGCGTTATGCAAACGCTCGTGCGTCTTTTAGGCAAATTTTAAAGGAAACAATCAAGCGCTCAGCAATTTAATTAAAATCATCGCACTACTCGATTCATCACCTTAATGATCGGGCAATTTCCGAAATTTTTGTAGCCTGAAAACACCTTTCACGCTTCTAACATGGGATCCCTGTTGCAATAACATATATTAAATCTAATATATTACAAAGAGCAATCACTCGACTAGTTCTGGCTTGAACGAGGCTAAAAACGACGTGTTGGGCCATGAGGCAATTCAGGCATTCCGCAATTCCGAATTTGCGCAAATAAAGAGGGTGACAAGGCCAGTTCAATACAAAACAGTTTAATTTCCAGTTTGAATAATTGGGGTTATTAGGCTGTCGTCGAGGACGAGGCGCTGCAGAGAACACACCTATGAAGATGGTCGTAATGCGTGCTGGCGAAACGTCTTAGCCGAAAATTATGACTGGCGTTCTTCTTTATTTGCCCAACATTACTATTAGCATAAAAAAATCATTCGTTTTTTGTGGGGGCCTGAGGAAAACGTCTGAAACGCAATTATTTTGAAAGCATCATCAATGCGTGAGATACACTGCTGATGTTATGAAGCAATTGCGCATTAATCACTTAAAAAACGACAGTTTTGCATTACCAAATTCACATTGATAGTGAGGATTTGCTCAGTGGATTTTAATCTGATCGCATAAAGGAAATAGTGTGGGAAATGTTTGCGTATGTGCTTTGGCCTGTACTTTCTTAGCTTTTATACTTAAGTAAGTTGAAGCTGATTTAGTGACTCAAAAATAAATTCCAAATCAAATTCATTCCTGGGTTTCAGTCATTTATTGTGTGTATTTATCAATCAAAATACGTTTCGGTGTATTTTTCCACCATCATCAGTTTTTATGTGTAGCGTTGTTGCTGCTTTAAGCCTTGGCATGCATTTTCTTGCTCGGCAAAAAATGCATGCCATTAATCAAACCATAGATTAACTAAGTAGTGGTTCAAACCCCCCATAAATTCAAATTTTGATGTCGTATTGGTAAAAGTCACCTCTAGTCTTCCAAATTGTTTTTCTGAGTAGACTCATCCGCAATTACGTTTTCCCATTGAAAAAGTAGGTTTTTTCACATGTACCCACATTAAAAGTATAACAGGTTGAGGTCGGGCGGTTGCGGTGGCCAAGTAATTGGCACCTGATGCATCGATTTGGATGATTTTCATTAAAAAAATTGCAACTCTTCCGAACTGGGCCAAAGCACCATGTGAAGAGAACATCGTCTTTTGTCTGGAGAAGAATGTTCTTTGTCACAGAAAAGAGTTTTTGGATCATTTCGGATCAGGAAACGCCACAGTCAATCGAAGAGTTCTGAAGGTTCGAGGCTTTTGCATGTGAGTGTGGAACTACCGTTGCAATATTTATGCAGAAATCAGAGCAGTTTTACAAAAAATCGTTCTTTATGTGCCGACAAGCCGCAAGTGCCCAAAAGCCACGCACTTATGCCACTTTGAGGCAGATGCAGACATAAAATAACAGTTGCGAAACTATTTAAAATACTTAAAATTTAACACCGTGTAATGTACTCTAATAGTTGTGGTTACTTTCTCTCTCTCCGAATTTAATTATGTTATTTTCCGTTTCCCAAGTCGGCTCATTGTTGCGAGGCCAAAACGCAATGCTGAACCGTTTGTTTTGAGATGCACAGAAAAAAGTGTGTTTGAACGTGCGGCTCAGATGATGGCCGATTAGATCCATCGGGCCGCAATCTTTTACCCGGAGATATAGATTATGACATCCAATTAATTTTAATTTGAGGATGCGATTGAAAACATGTTATATGGATGCGGTTGCTTAATGCGAGAATGTGTTACATTTTTTTTAGGTAACGACTCGAGTATCGTACCGAACATGTACCCGTTTCAAGGATCATGTTTTAAAAGTGAATCGCATTTTTAACTGTAATAATAGTTTGTTGCGCAACCAGTCATTCTAGTTGGGTATTCATAATACAACCTTTCGTTGTCTCATTTTTATCGTCTTCATTTATTCTAATGGTACTTGAAATGCGCTGATAGCTAACCTGCTTTTGCATATTGCATTCAATGCATTCACTAATGGGTTTTTATTTCAAATATTGCACAGTCAAATGCAGCCGCGTTCAAGAAATACATCTGTTTTAGTGCTGAACCACCGCTATTAATCATTCATTATTGTGGTTCAACATGGACTTTAATGAAAATTTTAAATTGTTTTGGGAATTGTTACATTGATTTCGGAACTTCTGAGGTGCGAGTGTTATTCAACCTTCCGCTTTCGACCGATAATCGATTCGAATTTGGGCAAAATGACTCGACAGTTCAGCGATTTTTGTGATTAAATCGCAAATTTAACAATGAAAGGTTATGAGGATAGCGATGATTGATTATTGTGCATTTAATACAAGAAGACTGTCTATTTGAGGCTCTGGGTTTTAACTTTTAACCGGCATTGTTTAAGCCATGCTAATGAATTAATTGTCCAGATGTCCGTGATGGTCGAGATACGATTAAGAAGTTCTTCACAGAACACCTTGATGGTCAGTCAGTAATTGCAAATTGGTACCATACCTTAATCTGGTAACCTTAGATAACACTCATGATAGGCCAATTATTTTATATATCATTTGATGGTGTTTGGGTAATTAATCTTCCAGCTATCGGAGATCTAAAGAGGATTGAGACTCGTGAATTTTAGTCTGCGCTTTAGGCCTTTGCGGGAAACATTCTTTCCGATAAAGCACCAGCTCGAACAACTGACCAGTTAAATGAGATTCTTTGTGACAAATTAGCACTGTTGAAGACGGAAAGTGTTAAAATTAGACAATGTTCGGTTGCAGATTAGAAACTCATTTTCACAATTTTGCTTTCAGTTTTTTAAGAATTCAATTTATCCTTAGCTTTTGAATTTCCCACCAATTTTCTGAAGTGTCACAATATTTGATAGCCTGACGTTCAGTTGTCAAGCTGACAAACTGAACTTTGAGAGGTGGGCAAATTAAAAACAAATGACAGATGTTTATATCACAAAACAGATAAAAGTTCTATGAAAACCTTGCGGGAAAAGCGAAAAATTAAAAAATTAGTGAATGTTCAAGGGATAGTGATTTAGAAGTGGAAATGGATGGAATCTCAAGTGAACTTAGACAGATGGGCAAAATAAAACTAATGAAAAACTTGCAAAAGCATTTTTCACGTTTCCAACTCCAACATAAATATAAAAAGTTGAAAAGGTAAATATCGCGGAAAAATAGTTTGAAAAATATCATCGGCATGCGTTTAGCTGAGGTTTCATGATTGAAACGCCTTGGCTGTAACGACGTTGCGTGTGCAATTCGGTTTTTGGTCAAGTTCAATATTAATGCGCAAAACTTAGAGCTGGTTGTTTCGGTAATAAGTCCGTTATTTTTCAGGCTTAATTTCGCCAATTGCGCATTTGTTACGATATCAACTTGGCTAATAAAACATTACATTACACCGCTTTATCTGCTACAGCATATTATCTTGTTGCGAAAGACGATAAAAAAAGCGTCCAACATTGAATGGTGCTGTTTTCCGTTAAATGTGACGATTTTTCCCATAAGCTTCCTCCACAATTCAACACCTCTAAAGCTGGCTAATTGCACGAAATTCCGTCTTTGTATTCAATTTGCTTCAAATGCCCCATGCTTAGACACTTCAATTAAAAAATTATCTTCACATTTTTACGTGTATAACAAAGCGTGTTAGTTTTTTATTGTTATGCGGGCGATTTTCCCATGCCATTTATTTAGGTGCTGGTTGCAAACCGAGTGCCAACGATATGAAGATTTATGTTTTGTTTAATTGTTCTCGCAAGTTCAATCAAGATCCGAGTTGCAGAAATCGAGAAAAACGATGTAAATTCGAGAAACTCTTTTGCGCTTTCTCAAGTAAGTTTATTGATGGAATTCTTCGTCTAACAACAGTGAATGTGTATGCAGGTTTCCCGTGTTCAGCATCTGTGCCGAAAACGCACAAGAAAGACACCAATTGAGTCCATTCTGGTTGCTAATTGCGCTTAAGAAATGATAATCAATTGATTGATTAAACGAATATCCGAAGAATGCACTATTAGCCAACAAATATTCATATTAAGCGATCAATAAAATTTGGCAAAACAACTTTCATATTTTTCTGTGCTTTGTATTGCGAAATATTTCACGTGGCGACTCCAAATCTTCCAAAATAAGTGAAACAAACGGGAAATAAAAGCAAACTACTTACAGTACATCAGTCTAAAGAAAGAAGATTAATAGATCATCCACGAATTCGGGCACCAAATTAATCCACACTTTTTACTGCGTTTCACTGATTCTCCCTTGCGACCAAAGTGTAAAAATGAATGTATGTACCTACCTAAAGAATGTCTGACCAAAAGCTCGTATTTAATGAAATCTAAAAGCTAACTAAAAGAAGTGAAGAGTAAAATCCCTTTTATATTCGGATGCATCCTCACATTAGCGCTTCCCCAATTCATCAGCAGCCGGCGCTTGTTTCTTCAATTGGGTACCATTTGCGTTGGTTCAATATGCGTTGGACCATCTAGCATCCATTCGGTCGTCGTACCGTTTGTTCATTTGTTTGCACACACAAATTACTGGGCTAATAGTGTGATTTCAGTGCCGTTTACAAGTAAAAACACACTATTTGCCTGATAATTTATTATAAAAATAATTGTCTTTGATTTTTTGACTGCCAGACAGTTGCGACTTTTTCATTCGCTTACATCAGCCAATACCAGGATGTGATTTATGTTCATAATCAGTGTTTTAATGTCTGCAATTAATTAATAAATGACATTTTGCAGCAAACTTTTCATCTTAAATTACGCAATATTAAACAAAAAAAATATTTTTTTCAGTAGAAATTGTCTGATTTATGTCTCCAATTTTATGGAATGGATAATGGAACTTCAGCGTTTTATGACCCCCACGACTAATTAGTTTTTCGCAATGATTAAGCTGCCGATCAAGATTGCTATAATTATTATTATTATGCAAAAACAAACGAGCTTAATTCCAAAGTGTTGGAATATGTGTTAACGAATCGAAGGTTCTTCACGCTAATAAAACACACTGTCAGCTGTGTTTGCTGGGAAATTCCGGTCACAAATCTAAACATTGATTTTTTGGGAATCCTTAGAACAGATTTAGTAGTGAAAAATAATGAATCTTTGGGCATCATTGGAGCCGTTGAAGTTTTATGATTCAAGTAGGTCAGACCTCAGGCACCCTCCGGACGGGTTTCGATCCTATTGATAATACGTAATCAAGGGGTAATTCAATTATCTATCCAACGATGCCAAAACGAATTATGTGGCCATTTATTTCTGTCTAGGATGATGTACAAATGAGCCTTCTTGCTCATTTTGCCTCCGAGAAATGAGCAAAAACGGGACGGAAAACATGAAATGTTTGCATAATCTTGCAGCTAAGTGTCTGGTGTTCAAATTTAGCTTTCTGCGTCAAAACTACTCGAATTTCCTCACTCATGTTGTTACGACTGAATCGACTTTTCAATTCTCTATCCAACGATGCCAAAACGAATTCTCTGGCTCGAATGGTTCTTGAGAAACTTCGAAAAAAGCAGCGTCATGTTCAAGTGGATTTTGCAATCCAAAAAAAACCACGCAAATCTAAAACTTCTTGAATTCAAGCATTTTTTGAGAAAACTGCCAACAATTCCCCATCCATGGTTCACTTTCTAAAAAGTTCTAAAAAGGCCATTTATTTCTGCCTAGAATGATGTATAAATGAGCGTTCTTGCTCATTTTGCTTCCGAGAAACATGCAAAACGGGACGGAAAACATGAAATTTTGCAATAATCTTACGCCACCCTTGCACGAAACAACGATAATTTTGCTAATTTCATAGACAACAGAAGACTGTATTTTTTCTACATAACCCTCCCCTGAATTTAAAGCTGGATCCGCCCCTGTAAGTAATCTTTGTTGGTTTGGCTAAATATTAAGAGAATTTGCTTCTTAGTTCAGGTCAACAAAAGGTCCTCTCACTTTTGGAAAACCCCGTAGGTTCCCACAGTGCTATTAAACAATTTAAGCCACATTTCCATACGCTTATAATGCTTTCTTCTCTTTCTAAGAGACGGTGAATTATTCCATTGATACCGATGTTCTTTGCCCACATATATAATTACTCAGTTCTTATTAAGGTTTCGATCATTCTCGTCATCCTTATTTACTATATGCACACCTTATGACATATGCCCATATTCAAAACACTAGAAGCGCACGTATTTCTGGACGTTTCGGAATTACAAAATTTTATATAAACAGAGATTTTCACTTTTTCTCCTTTGACTGTGCTGCGGCGGCTGCAATAAGTAATTCTAAACCACCATCATATGGCAGATGGGCTGATTAAAGTAAATATGATTTAGGAATAATTGCAAAATGCTTTAAGCCATCGGTCGATGGCACAAAAGGATTCACTTATGGTTCAAGAGTGGCGATAATTGTGCTTTGAAGTTGAATTATTTGATTAATCTGAGCGATTCCTTACGCTGTAATTTGCCCATTTTCTTACTACGTTGATGCTATTTACGATTATTTTACGGCAGTTTGTTTCTTCTAGTACCCAAAGCCAACACCAGCAAAGTAAATACAATAAGAAAGTTTGCCAATGGGGAACAATAATCATTGTATTGGATGTTAACAAGTGTCTTAGGTCTTCTAATGTTTGTCTAATTATAGTCCTTTCGCTAAAAGCGGCATTACAGCATTTCATATTATATAATTTTGGCTATATTTGCTTGTATCACTTTCTTCTCAAATTGGGCTGATTTTGCCAAAACTCTTTCGAAGAACATCCACCTCTCTACCCTTACAGGATTTTTGCGCTTCAGGCCTTCAATCGGTCGAGCAAACGTGTTTTGTTCAATTAACCGTGTTAATTCACTTATAGCTACTTCACTAGTAGAATGAGGTTTACTTTTGAGTTTTAATATTAATTAAGTAGCACCTGAAAAACCATCTGCACATGAAACTGCTAAGGCAATTTGTCCGACCAAGGCAACATCGCGCCGATCAGCAACCATAACATGAAAGCTTTTAAGCTTGAGGTCTTCAATTTAATATTTGCATCTGATCATCTGATAAAAGATCATTTGTTCTTTCCTTCCTCTTTGCTTCGATTTGTTGGCATAACCAATTATTTTACCCCTTTCGGTAAATTTGTGACTGAAACGCAGTCAATCGGCTTTATTTTAAAAGAATTATCAGCGGATAAATATTAGAGAATTGCAAAGTACAGTTCCGGATATAACGAACTTGAAAAATGAACTAAAACTGGTTCGTTATATCCGGAGTTCGCTATAAGCGAATAATGATACAAAAACACGTGGTGTATTTTATTGCGTTATTTTTACATAGTAAGTTAGTAGGTATGACTAAAAAGAACACAAAAAGATAAACAAAATTCAATTTGAAATCTACTTCATAGTCTGCAATTTTTGTTTGTACATTTCTGCTGCAAAAATAGATGTTATTTATGTAGTTTTCAAGATCACAAAAGGACTCCCAGATATGATTAGGAACTTGGCGTGATTGTAGAAAATTCCGAGTTTCTGACACTTTTTTTGTCATTTCAGAAATGGTTGGAACAGCATTAGTGTCTGCAGTAGAATACGTTTCACCTAAATCGTCATCTTTCTCATTATCGCTTAAAGCTGTAGATGAGGTTACGGAGTCTATAATTTGCTCATCGGTCAACATTTCTCTTGTAAGAATGCCATTATCAATGCTCACATATTCGAAGAAATTTAAATCACTCAATTTGGTTTTAACTTGTTCTTCGACAACATTGAGACATCTTTGTGTCATACTCGTAGTCAGAGTCTTTATACTTTTCTAACCATTCGTTAAGTAGAATTTTATCGTCTGGTTCATAATCATTTTTTTTCTTATAAATCCCCCATGCTTAAAGCAATTTGCAATGGTTTTTCGGCTAACTTTTTGCCAAGTTCTATGAATAAAATTGACTGCATCTAAGAGATTTATGAAAAATGTTTCATTTTTATCGATCGCCTCTAACGTTTTCATAAGAATTTTTCACCGGCAGACTCTCCAACAATTTTTTCGCTGAAACGCTCTTCCCAACTTTTAGAAGCAAACTCTTTGTTTTTGATTTTACTCCCCATTTCACTAGCATTTTCTTGCAAAACACCGCCACTTATGGGAACGTTTTCTTGTCTTTTTTGAGTAAACCACTTAATAAGTTCTTTGTCAACCTTTTCATGTGCAAATAATTTTAACTTCCTACATCTAACACTTGTTTTGTCATACGCTGATAAAATGTTTTCTCTGTTTTTCCATATTGTTGCAACAGTAGACTTTCCAAGTGCTAATTCCTTACAAATATCACTCTGCTTTACTCCACTTTTTATTTTGTTAATAATCTCTCTCTTTGTGAAAAATCTTTGCGTTTTTGTTTTTTCATTCTAAAACGATTTACATACATAACGCGGCAAAAAACAAGTCACTGCCTGTCTCTCGCTCTCACTAATATAAACCTCCGCAGGATTGGTGTTGCTCAGCGTGGAAGATCATTATAAACGGAAAGTGAATATACTGAATGATCCTAAAAAGTGATCGTTATATCCGGAAGTTCGTTATAAACGTGTTCGTTATAACTAGTAAAAAAATACGTTGGTCTTTATGGACGACGTTTCAATTAAAGGAAAAAAGTTCGTTTTAACCGAAAGTTCACTATAACCGGGTTCATTATAAGCGTACTTTACTGTATATGATTATTGTATTGAGCATCATTTCGTGAAAAAACACTTGAGCTATGGAAAATGTCCCTGAAATCCTTCGAATTCGTTTGCGTTGGAAAAAATCAACACAAGCTCTCACATTTTAAGGCACCTTAATTAGCCTAACGCTGATTACTACACTTTAACAAATATTTATCCGCTGTAAGGCACTTACTGGCCTAGTACCCTTTAGTAGTCGAACATCACTAAACAAATATGTTATTTATTTTAGTTGGTTCGTTGTTGTGCGGTTTAATTAAATTTTACATTTTCATTAATCACAACCAACGTGAATGGCTTTATCATAACAAAGAATCCTCTTGAACTCGCAATTGCGATTTAATCGTTTAGTCTTTCGCAAAAGTGAGGATTTTTCAGTTATTAGGCCGTCGTCGATAGGCATTTCAAAAGTGCCTGTAAGGCAACAAACAAAACCAACAAAACAAACCCGGAAGTGAAGCCATCAAGCATAAAAGCGAACAATTCTTTCCTCTAATACTTCATAGTTTTCAACATATTTTTTGTTAATTTACGAAGCAAACTAGGAACTTGGCCCATCCTAATTACATGCTATTCAGCAAGATCAGATAATTGAAGATCCGCTCACTATGTTTTTTCAATTATAAAGAAGACAAACGGACAACCTTCCATCAAATGACGCCTAATTGATTCTTAAATCAATTTAAAGGTGCGAATTGGATTCTACAAAGAACTGTTGATGTAACCCTCAAGTTTACAACGTGGAGGAATGGCAAATGGAATTGGTATTGAGTCATTAAAACCTTATCTGATTTTTGCTGGAAGAGGTACTGATGATTAAAAGGTGTATAAAATAATGTTGGATTTTAATCTGATTTTCAATAACCAATTATGATGCGAATAAAGTCGCCAATTGTTGACTCAATTGCTCACTCAACAAGGTAACGTTCGCAGAATTGCTGTATTTGAGTTTTCCATATATAAAAGCGACATTGGGAAAACTGATCTTATATTTGCCATTCTCGCCTAAGAGCTGTAATGTTTATTTATACACCTAGCTTGTTCCGAGCGTGAATAAAACACATAATTTCCTTAACGTTTACTGCACTAATAAATACAAATTAATATTCACCGTTTACCAAATACCATATGATATCTGAAACAATTCATAATTTATGAAACTTTGCTGGCAAGTTGAAACGTAACGTATAGTGGGTCCTAATTCGCACGAGCGTTTTGTAAATTCACCTTAATTAATAATAAATATTACCAAATCCTAATTAACCTTGCCTAAGAATTTTACAGGAATACAACCATTATTTGGTGGAACATTTTACCTTCCTACGCGCTTGCGGCGATATTCAAATGTGTGCAGATAATTAGTACGTGGATGATGGTGCGTTATTTTTTTAAATCAATACTTTAATTGGTCGAGGAAAGTTGATTTGGAGTTTGGAAACAGCCATCAATAATGACCTTCGTCCAATGAGTAAAAATTTTGCAGAAGACACTTTTTCAAAAAGAGAAATCGACCAAAGGTTCCAAAATTCCGCAGATTTTCCGGAAAATTTCATACCTTTCTAAGCTAGTTTCGACTTGAATTCATTACCAGGAATTATTGGGGCATAATTAATGGTTAATTAATTAATGGCATAATTAATAAGCATAGTTAACATAATTAATAATTAATCATCCAGCATTATTTTAAATAGCGCCCTTTTCTTAACTGGTCTGTTAAAATTCAGGTTAATCAGCCTTTTGACGGAGATTTTACGAATTTTTTATCATCCCAGTGCGCTTTATGAGCGGCATTTTGTAGCAGAGTGAGTTTCAAAAGCKCCTTCTTCAAACATTTCGCTGGATAGAAACGCGCATCCAATGGTCTTTTAAACAGCGCCCTTTTCTTAACTGGTCTGTTAAAATTCAGGTTAATCACGCTTTTGGCCGAGATTTTACGATTTTTTTATTATCCGCGTGCGCTTTATGAACGACATTTTATTGCAGAGTGAGTTTCAAAAACGCAGTTTCCAAAAATTTTTCTGGATACAAACGCGGATCCAGCGGTATTTTGAAGAGCGCCCTTTTCTTAACTGGTTTGTTAAAATTCAGGTTAATCACGCTTTTGGTCGAGATTTTACGAATTTTTTATCATCCCAGTGCGCTTTATGAGCAGCATTTTGTAGCAGAGTGAGTTTCAAAAGCGCCTTCTTCAAAAATTTCGTTGGATAGAAACGCGCATCCAACGGTCTTTTAAACAGCGCCCTTTTCTTAACTGGTCTGGTAAAATTCAGTTTAATCCCGCTTTCGGCCGAGATTTTATGAATTTTTCATCATCCCCGTGCGCTTTATGAGCGGCATTTTGTTGCAGAGTGAGTTTCAAAAACGCATTTTTCAAAAATTTTTCTGGATACAAACGCGGATCCAGCGGTATTTTAAAGAGCGCCCTTTTCTTAACTGGTCTGTTAAAATTCAGGTTAATGACGCGTTTGGTCGAGATTTTACGATTTTTTTATCATCCGCGTGCGCTTTATGAACGACATTTTGTAGCAGAGTGCGTTTCAAAAGCGCGTTTTCAAAAAAATTCTCGAGATAGAAACGCGCATTAAGAGCTATTTTAAAGAGTGTCCTTTGCTTCATTGGTGCCATAAAATCCAATTCAATCGCGCTTTCGACCGAGATTTTACGAATTTTTTATCATCCGCTTGCGCTTTATAAACGACTTTTTGTTGCAGAGTGAGTTTCAAAAGTGCCTTTTTCAAAAATGTCTCTGGATAGAGACGCGCATTCAGCGGTATTTGAAAGAACGCCATTAATTATTATTAATTAATTAATAATAATTACATCGCTGTAAATGCGCAAGATATGGTAATGTTCTAGTCTTGATAAAAGGAAAAATTAATTTATGTATTGTTTCTCAAACTGCTGCTGGAGGATCGTGGGTCGATTACTTTCGGCTATACAAAAGACAACAAATCGTATACAGGTGAGATATGACCAACCGCAGAATTGACTTTCTCTCCTACACGTAATGCTTTCTAAGGTGAAGATGTCAACTATTGAACTATATTTATGGGATTTTTGTAATGAGCGCCAAGCTTTCGAGCATTGCATGGCTGCGAGGAAATAAGTGTGGGTTGGCTTATGTTTCGAGCCTCTAAAGCTGCAACTTGCCCACCACAACAACATCACCAAGGAATTTTAAAGAGTTACATGATTATTCAGCCTACTAAATCTAGATAGACATCTTTAGAGTCGTGATTTTCTATAGTTCTGCGTGCCAAGATTGTTTTTTGTTGTGTCACGGATCAGATTAGGAATATCTACTTAATGATTTGAAGGTGCATTTTTTTTAGCTAAGATGTACATGTGGCTGGGCTGAGAAATTGCTGCGCACGAATTCATTATGTATTTTCTACAGGAAGCTTTCAGACCAATATATTTCTCTATTGAAGATAAACTGTCTGTAATTACCACGTATTAGCATATTCCATCCTACATAAATCAAGGAATTTGTCCTTAAAATTTAGAACCCCATCAACTCAGGCGGCTGATTTTTTTGATGCAAATACGCGCTTTACCGCCGGTACCTTTTTAGGTTTTACTTAAAAGGTAAAAATGCCTCATCAGCAATACAATAAGCTCCGACCTCAATCGTTAGGATTTGGCGACCTTTAGCGGAACAGTAGGAAATTTTATTATCTATCAATCAAGGGCGATTGATTGATTGATTCGGGAATCTTTACCGCATCTGGAATTATAGAGAATAAGTTAGGGGTGTCGTTAATTTTTCCATAATCACTAAACAGTTGGCAGCAGCTGGAACCCAGCAAAGGCCTTCAGCAAATTGCTGCAAATATTTAACAATGCGCAGTTAATTATTGGCGAGAAAAGTAACACATCAGTAAAAAGAGCAATTAAAACACGGTAGACTATCGCTTTAACTCCTTATTCGTCAGAACAGCATATTTCAGTAATCATACCATCTGAACAGTGATAAAACTAAATGTTTTCAGGCACCCAAGAACAATTTAGAAAATTACATAGACACTTGCGGATTGAAGTCGCCTTCGTGACCAATTTGCAAATTGAGTGATTACTTCCCCAATTAACTCCAAGAATCCCGTTCTAGTCTCACTACATTAGGAATACCGATTTAAATGGATGAGCAGCAAGGAAAGTTTTAGGCTGATACATTTCAAACTTTGGCTCATTCTTTACACTATTAAGGATTTTCGTGTTTTTATCAGAAAATTTCATTAATTAAGGTGATTGTTGAGTCCATTTAAGCTTAAAGAACCAGCTGCATACTGTATTTATTCAAGTATTAAAGCTTCAATGCGTAAAATAAATAACTAAGTTACAGTAAACCGAATCAAATGCTTGCATCTGAGAACAAGTTGCCTTCCTCTAGCTCAAATGGGGTCGCCATGAGAAACTCGAGATAATGCAACGAAACTCATTTTAGTCGGAATATCGTGGAACCCAATGGGACCAGCCTCGCAATCTGCACAAGTTAAATACTTGGTGTTTCCAACCGTGTTTGAAAACCCCACGTTCTGGAAGGTAAACATGTCTTTAACTGCCCAAAAAACGGACGTGGTTTCAGTGTCAGGATTCTCTTCGGTCGTCTTGGTTTGCCTAATTAAGGGCAGTGAATGCTGGAAAAAACAATACTGTATAAACCCAGGGCGAAGGCCCAGATAATCGTTGCAAACCTCAACGTTCATAATAGCGGCTGTTGCGGGCGTTAAAATCACCGACGAGCAAAATTTGCATTTTACTGATCGCTTGTTTTGGCCCTCCTCGATTTCTGCCTCAAAATTCACGTTGCAATCGGGCATTGTTCGTTTTCAACAATATTATTGTTACTTATTTTGTTATTTCTAGGGTTGAAGCTGGTTGAAGTACTAACCTAAAAACTAGCTTTCAAACTAACCAAAACTAACATTAAATTAGGCGACGACGACTGACGTCAGCGCGAGGCGAGTCGGTCCCCGATTATATACAGACTTTATTTTTTTAAATGTAAAGCCAGTTTTTAGCTCTGCTTCACGCGTTTTTGCCAATAGAAATAGGTAAATTAATATTATAAAATCGGCTTTTAAACTGCTTAACTATTTATTAATAATAAACTCAATTAGTATTTCTTTTTTAATTTACTTATTTTTTATTATTTTTCCATATTTCTCTAAAACAGTAATAATAGCCCAAATATAGAAATCAATAGTAAAAAGATGAACGATATTTAAAAGACCTGAACAATAAAACTTGCCAAGCTTTATATTGATTATTGTGTGCTATCGCATTTGCGCAAACTTCATGACACTGCGCCTGCTTATTTTCCATTGTGATCTCTGTCCTTGTCAGAGTGGACAGCTGTCATACAATTGTTATACGAAGTTGTTTTTTTTATTGAAAATCCCTCATTTAACAAGAATTAATAGGTGGAAACATGTCCTATGCTTATCTATTTAAATATATTATAATTGGAGACACAGGTAAGTTGTCAACTTATGCAAAACTAAGGCAAAATATGGGGTTTGCCTCAAAGTAAATGTTCTTCACTAGAACGCAGATTTCATTAAAAACAAAGATTTAGCTTGTTCCTTTCTTCAATCATTTAATTGCAGTTAGTCAGTGTAACGGAGTTCAATGATTTGTAATTTTCCCCATTGTTGTCGATGTTTGGTTATCGCTTTGATCGTCAACCCTCAAAACTGCTTGTGTGGGTGTGAAAATTATCAATTTTCTGCCTTGATTAACACTAGCAGAGGAGTTGCTCCAACTAGCCAGACGCTTAAATATTCCCAATTCATTCAACTACTATTGTATCAGTATCATCAAGTTTCTTGCGAGCTTTCAAAGAAGAAAAATCCTTCGTTGTGTTTTAATGATCCTCTAGGTCTTTGAGTAGTTCAACTGCAGAAAAATACTATTCCCCGCTTGTATTGATTTCCCTTATCTTCAGTCAACACAGCAACCTGCCTAATAATATCCCATTTTGATTTCTTTTGTAGGTGTGGGTAAATCCTGCCTGCTGCTTCAGTTCACTGATAAAAGATTCCAGCCAGTTCATGACTTGACTATTGGAGTAGAATTCGGGGCCCGAATGATTACTATTGATAGTAAACAAATCAAACTACAGATCTGGGACACTGCTGGCCAGGAAGCATTTAGGTAGATAACTTAACTGGTTAATGTCCCTTTAGGGGATTTCATTTGTTTAAACAAAGATTAGGGAGCATTAATGGGTAAAAAATCAGGGTCAATGTTTAATGGTTTGGTTCAGCTTAGCTTCATTGGCTGCGGTTTGTCAAGAACGCAGCCCACAACGTTACTCTGATCTGACCATGAATGTCCCATTAAGCTGTGAATATTTACCAAGACAAATCTCCTTTTCGCAGATCCATAACGAGATCATACTACAGAGGAGCTGCTGGAGCTCTGCTAGTTTATGACATCACCCGAAGGGAAACTTTCAACCATTTGACTACTTGGTTGGATGATGCCCGACAGCATTCAAATTCCAATATGGTCATAATGCTCATTGGCAACAAAAGGTATTCCCACATTGAATAAAATGTTTTCCATGAGTGGCGTTAAATGTGTTATGAACTTAGCGATTTAGAGTCAAGGAGGGAAGTGAAACAAGAGGAAGGTGCGGCTTTCGCCAGAGAGCACGGATTGGTATTCATGGAAACGTCTGCAAAGACCGCCGCCAATGTTGAGGAAGCTTTTATCAACACTGCCAAGGAAATCTACGAAAAAATTCAGGAGGGCGTCTTTGATATCAACAATGAGGTACGTTGTCATTCTGACTCTGTTCTTTACGGGTGATTATTAAATTGTATGCGATATTGTAGGCAAACGGAATCAAAATCGGCCCTCAACATTCTCCCACTAATCCATCGTTGCCGGGAGCAGGAGGATCGGGTGGATCTCAAGGTTCAAGCTGCTGTTAAAGAATTAGCGTAAGATGAATGTAACGTAAATTGTAATATTCTAAAGCCCTTTATTTGGCTTAAGACAGAACGTTGTCTTTTTATTACATAAGTTATCGTGGTCAGAAAGTCAGAAAATTCTTACATGATTGACAAATTCTAATTTATGTAATAAAATGTACAACTCTTGTGATTTTCCAAATGTTTTATATAGATACTTTGTGTTACCCAATAATCCTACTTTTAGTTTTGGTCGACTTTGATTTAGAGCTGCCTTCGTACTTCTAAATATCAAAAAAAATCAAATGGTACATTATACGTATGTTTCATATAATATAAGTGGATTGTTTCGTGCAAGTTTGCTCTTTGTTTAGTGTCTGGTGGTTTCTTCGCATATTCTGACTATGTAATTATTCGTCAAGTTTTCAGTATATTATCAATATAAAGCACTTTTCAATATTTAATTTAAATATACAAGTCTTGAAAAGCTCATAAGATGATGGACATTCAAACAGAAACTAGGTTCTACTCACAGGTGGTAACGAAAAGGTGATTTAAGGAAAACTTATGTAGCTAGTCGTGCAATTGAGTTTTTATGTATGAATATGCTTAATCCTATAATTAATAAAATTGTATTTAAAATCCGTTAATCTTTTTATTAGGCTTATATTAATTTTAGTTCTTTTTTTTGAGATGCTGATTATTTTTGTTTTTATTAAATCAGTTTGGATTTAAAAAGTAGAAGCGCAATATTCTCTTCTTCAAATGGATTATATCAACAACAGCTAGAATATAAAATTAATCAACTCTGGTGTTTTTTCGCAATTTTAACATTTATTGGACCTGAAGTCACTCCATTGTCTCTACTTTAGACCAGCATTGGCAACATGGGCAGAGCACGTCAAGCAATTGGGCTATGTTGACAATTAGTTTGAAGATGGCCGATCAAGCTGTGCGTGTTTTACAACAACAAACAAAACCGATCAAAGTCGAAAAATGGAAAGTCCGGCAAGGAAATGCCGTATCTTTAGGGCGAATTGTGCTAATTTACGATTTCATGGAGAAAGAGAAGCCCGAGCAGAAGAAACTGAAGGCGTTGCAAGCCGGCATCATCCACAAAATTTTGGCGGTGGAAGGCAAAGTTGTGCAACCTGGGTAATACTGTGTGGGAAATTTTGAAAATTTCATTGTTGTTTACGGGTTTTTGTAAAGCTTTCTTATGAATTCACATTCTTTTCACACACAAGAAGCTTTTCCGGTACAATCAACCGTTTCCTTAGGAGTAAATAATTTTCTTTGCAGCATTAATCAACCACAAAAGCAAATGTGTAACATTTTTATGCAAATAAAAACTTCAAGTTAACAACTTAAACTCATCAATGTCTTCCAACAAAGATTAAAATTGCAAAAATTAAACAAAAAGCGAATAATCTTAGTCCTGTAATCGTGAATTTCTTGCAGTGAACCCCTTTATGAAATTAAGGCCTGCAGTCACCCCACTATTATGAACGACATGTGCGCTGAATGTGGGGCGGATTTAAGAATAGAACTGATCCAGAAAACAACTGCATCGGTTCCCATGATCCATGCTATTCCAGAGTTGAAAGTCAGCGAAGAAGTAAGAATAGTCGTAGAGGCATTAGCTTGAGTGTATTGAGTAAGGAAAGGCTTTCTAGCAAGCTAAGCAGTTGGGCCAAGCGGATAGTGACCGTTTAATCAAAGACAGGAAATTAGTGTTGCTAGTAGATTTGGATCAAACGTTGATACACACTACTAACGACAACGTACCCGCAAATATCAAAGATGTGTATCATTTTCAATTGAATGGCCCTACATCACCATGGTACCATACCAGGTGAATCATCTGAAAATAACTTGAAATTCCCGCAGAATAATACCAATTCAATTGTTCTAGGTTACGACCGGGAACACACAAATTTTTAAGCACCATATGTGAATTTTACGAGCTGCATATATGCACTTTTGGCGTTCGAAGCTATGCCCACATGATTGCCAGATTTTTAGATCCAGAGCAAAAGTTTTTTTCCAATCGAATTCTCAGTCGCGACGAGTGCTTTGACCCTACTAGCAAAAAAGCTAATCTCAGGTAATATCCTGTTTTTACTCGGTTATGTTCTATCGTTTACTCGATGTTATTTGGAATTTAGTGCTCTGTTTCCTTGCGGCGACGACATGGTTTGTATTATAGATGACCGCGAAGACGTCTGGTCGCATGCAGCCAATCTAATCCATGTTAAGCCTTATCACTTTTTCCAACACACAGGAGATATTAACGCGCCTCCTGGCCTAGATAAGCATGAAGACGACGACAAGGAAGGGGTGGACTTAACAAGAGCTGCCAAGCAACCCTCCCCTGATGTTCCGGGAGATAAAAGTGAAAGCACCGAAACAGAAGATGAAAATTTGACTTCAGTCAATGAAGATAAAACTGTTCAATCCTCCCCTGGAGACTCCTCAGAAATTGTAGATGCTAAAAGTGACGCGTTAGGAAGTAGTACCAATGAAGATTTAACTAAGAGCAACCATTGTGATGATAATGATAAAGGTGTAAGCAGTGAGATTAGCGAAAGTGTGCCTCCATCAAGTAGTACTGAAGAGCCGAATGTAGAGATTAAGCCAATCCCTAGCGATGAAGTTGTTACCAAAGAAGAAGTTTCAGAGAACAGTGGATCTATCGAAGAAACTAAAATAAGCTTAGCAACTGAGCTGAATTCGGGGGGAGAAAGCATAGACAAAAAAAGCGAATCCGAAAGTATTCCTAAAGTGGATACCGGGAAAACTAACGGCAAACTGAAGGGAATCGTTCCAGAACACAGTGAGAAATCCCAAGATGCAAGCCTATATGAAGTTGAAGATCCAGATGATTATATCAATTATTTGGAGGACATTTTAAAACAAATTCACACATCGTACTACCAGTTGTATGATGAGATGGAATCTGGCAAAATTCCGGACTTGAAAAAGGTTATTCCATGTAAGTAGCATTTCACGGCTTTTATGCAAACATACAAATGAGCAACTTTTTAGATGTAAAAAGTCAGGTTTTAAAGGGTTGTAAGTTGGTGTTTAGTGGCCTAGTGCCAACCCACTATAAACTCGAAGAATCCAAAGCATATCGTGTCGCACGAATCCTAGGAGCCGAAGTTCAGCACAATTTCAATAATGATACCACCCATTTGGTGGCCGTCCGGCCTGGAACCGCTAAGGTATATTAATAATAAACCGGCGATAATTAAAAGATAATAATTAAAACTGTTCTGCAAGGTTAATGCTGGTCGTAGAAGAAAAAATTTGAAAATCGTCACTCCCGATTGGCTGTGGTGCTGTGCGGAAAGATGGGAACAAGTGGATGAGCGACTATTCCCGTTAAATGCCAAGGGCTCAAAAAACCGACACCCGCCACCTCATTGCAGCAGTCCAGAGCACATTCCCGAGTATCCAGGTAGTCAAACTCCTGTTCTGCGGAAAAGGTCTCCAAGTGGTCGATTCATGGATACGATAAATCCTTTGATGTCGTTTTCCCGGGACGATATAGCCGATATGGATAAAGAGGTGCCGTCGTTTTAATCGCATTTATGTGCTTTTGCTTATTCAATTAAACTTAAATAGGTGGAGGATATTTTGGAGGATGACACCGATGATGAAGAACAAGTGGCGCCCATTCCTGTTGAATTGGAGGATGACAATGATACCGATATGGAAGATGTGAATATCAAGCAACTGATTCAGACGGAAATATTGGATGCTTATGACAGTCAGACGGATGATGGGGAACGCGAGAACACCCATGACTTAGTTACTCACGAATCCAAAACACGTACATTTGTTTAATTTGTTTGCAAATTGAACTTTTAATCGAATTAACATTTCAGAGATACATGAAAACCGGAAAAGAGCTTTGGACGATGCGGAAGACGATAAAGAAGATCTACCCAGCCGAAAGTTTCGCCGCGGCGAGGATATCGCTGATGATCTGGATGTTGAACCACAAAATTCGGATGATGATGATAGTGACAGTTTTGAAGCTCCAGACGAGGAGGATGAAGGGGAATGGAACATGATGGGCGCTGCCCTGGAAAGGGAATTCTTGTCCGACTGAACTTTGAAACCGAAGTAATTGTCTTGCTAGTACAAAGCACTATTTTATAGGATATAAGACAAGTTGCATGAAAGCTTTCAATTGGTAAAATAATTTCTGAATGAGGAAATGTTTTTAAGTTTGACATGTTCGGATTTATTTTATACGTTAGGTTGATTGAATATATGGCACAGGTTTTCATGCAATTTGAAGACTAGGTTTCAATGGAGTAATTCGAGATTTCATGTAAATAAAAGGTTCTATTAACTACGAGGTATCAGCTACACATTACATTATACGGCATATGGTTGGTCTGTACCATCGTCGTGGTATTTAATGTAGGTCTCGCGATGCGTGAAGTCTTTCTTGTCTTCTTGCCAGCCTCTAGCTGGTGCCTTATCGTAGTTGAACGCGCCAGGTCTCACACCATATACTTTGTTCACTTCGTGAATATTCTCCCGATATCTGCTGGCAACGATCTTCTTGCCTGTTAGAGGGCAGGTCATGTCTCCCATTGGATAAATCACTTCTTTTACTCTGTGCGTTATGAGGCGCGTCATTTTTTTTGGAAGTTGCTCTATTAGGACGACGTCGCCAGTTTTGCATACCATGTCAGGATCATGGGCGTAGAGCAGTTCGTGTTTGGAGAAATACTGAAAAGGTTTAAAGTAAGGAAATAATCCGTGGGATTTTTGGGGCAAACGGCAGTGTAGACGACTGAGAACCCCACAAATTGCAGTAATAATCTCAGTCTAGCTGTTACGACCTTAGTATAATCAGGGTGTTTGAAAAAGGGAGTAATTGTGACGCGCTGTTTGGGGGAATGTTTTCACTGAACCCAGCAATCTGATGAGAGTAAGAAAACGAAGATTTTCATCGGATAACAAGCCGCTCTAAAACGCGAAACATACAACTTCTGTTTATTGTGCAAAGAGTGTTTCAATTCCCTCTCCTCAATCCTCCCAACTTGAGAGTGTGTACAGTGGTGAAGCTTACCATGTTAAGGTTTTGATCTAATTCCATCCTTTTGATCTTGAATTTGGAGGCGCCCCGTTTCAAACTCGGTACACACACTCCTAGTAACATAAACGCTTTACTTGCCGGCTGTAATGCCATTATTAAATCGCTGAAAATAATTTTTTAATAAAATTTGCAGGTTATGGCCCACACATTTGAAGTTTCTTCTGATTTAGGAAATGTGAATCTGTCATGACATTACAGATCCCTTTAGGTCCAATTTTACTATGCATGAGTTCGCCATTTTGTACGCTGAATTTTGCCATCGGTTTTCGATAGTCTCACTAGGTAGAACGGTAGGTAGTGATCAACAGTGAGATATTTAAGTGTTTTCACGTTGGCTGTGCTTTCAAACTACTCAAATACACTCATTTTTTAATTTGCGTACTTGATTTAATGTATGAACGTGTTTATTTTTTACCCAAAAGGCTTCAACACCTTTGTGTTGACAAGGGCGGATCCAGGGGGGGCATCATGGGGGTCATGACCCCCCCATTCAATTCTCTATCCAACGATGCCAAAAGGAATTATGTGGCTCGAATGGTTCTTGAGAAACTTCGAAAAAAGCAGCGTCATGTTCAAGTGGATTTTGCAACTGAAAAAAAAACCACGCAAATCTGAAACTTCTGGAATTCAAGCCTTTTTTGAGAAAACTGCCAACATTTCCCCATCCATGGTTCACTTTCTAAAATGGTCATTTATTTCTCTCTAGAATGATGTACAAATGA